TTGCACATGATTAAAAAGCAGATTTTGAAAAAAGATTAGCCAATTTGAAGTTATTAAAATGTATTTACGTTTGCATACTTCACAAACTCTTTTTTATGTAACAATTGGGGATGAATTTGCAATATCAGAAAAACTCCTTTTTAAGAAAAGCGAAGAAGAGGTGGAGTTTTTGGAACTAAAAAAAGATAAGGCACTGGAAGGCAACATAAAGCTTTGCCATTGCTTGGATTTCGGCAACTGTTTTACTGTTGGACAATTTTTACTGGAGATTTTAAACGAACGTACCTAACCAACATTTAACGGAACTGTTAGGAACGACTTTAACTGACGTAAAACCAGATTTTGAAAATTTGGTCGAAGGGGTCTTTTGAAGAGTTTATGGTGGAGTCTGTAGTTTCCCGTGAATACCAATATATATATGTTTTCCACTGCATTTCGAAATTTGTAATTTTATCAACGCTCAAGTTTTTGCTTTCCTTTTCCAGCGTGGCCGCCTGAGAGGGAATACACCGTCTAAGCTTATCGGAGCCCGGTACAGTTTGTATGCTCCCGCGCATGTGGTAGAAACTAATCGACTTACTTGCCCATTTTCCATTTGCTTACGCGTCAATTGCATTAAGAATGGAACTTTTCTAAGTATTAATCGAAGCAGAATAACATGAAGGTATTGAAAATAGCCTGAGATCACCAAAGCCAAATTTAAAATTTTAATATTATACCAAATATAACTAAAACTTTCTGTAGCTAAAAAAGTGCTAGATAATTTTGAAAAGAGCTAGGAGCTAAGTCCCAATTTTCGGGGCTAAATAGAAAAATAAAGAGCTAAATCTAGCTCCAATACCACCAAAATGGCAATACTGGAGTGGAGTGCTCGCACGTAAACTATTATGCAAATAAAAGACCAGGGCTCGAATCGTGACAGTCGTGAATGAGCAACTCGTCACGTAAAAATGCGTATTTCGGATTATAACAGTCGTGAACGTACTGATCGTCTCGTATCACACCCCTTAAACTCTTGTTGCTAATTCATCATTTCCTTATTCAACCTACTACTATCAAGTGCAGCTGATTTGCCGCTATTTAAACTTGACAGCGTGGTTGTTGTTGTCAATCCTATACATTCAATTGCTTTATTGTATAGTTTCAGGCAGGCTCTTCCTAAGCTATGTGTTTGTCAATGTTATTGTGGCTTATTAACATTTTTATTTTTAATATTGTTTTGATCTTTGTACCACGATTGTTTATTAGGAAAAATTAAAAAAGGAAAAAAGCAGTAGAAGTTATAGCAGCAATTTCGGAGATCACCACATCTCCTCATCAGACTTCTTTTTTCTAGACTTCAACAGAGATTGAACCCGCGTCATCGGTTTGCAAAGTCAGAAGTGTTAATGTGAAATAACACAAACGGCAATAACGCAAAATTTGCTTTACTTCACTTTTAAATGGGAAATAATACCAAAATCTGAGTTTTGCCTTATTTGCCATTGCTTATTTATACTATTTGTAAAAAAAACAGTTTACTGACAGAAGGAAAAAGAACTTTGTTTATTCCAAAACCACAATTAAACCAAGGCACATTGAACAGGTAATATCAGTATAGCAGCTGATTTGATTCAAATTATTTGTTCTCGAAAATGTCAAATATTTTACATTTCTTCTCACAAAAATTCTAAATTGTTAAAATCTATTTGCATGTGAAACATTTTCCATACAAAACCAGCGATTAAATAGCAGCTTTTGGAAAGCTCGCCCAACTCAGCAGCACAACCGCTAATTACTGGGCCTGGCACAGGATGGATCAATGCTTCGAGAAGCGAACCAATTTACTAAGAAAGAAAGTTGCAACAATTTTCATTTTTTCAATTTAAATTTTTTACCTTTTTCGTATTTCGCATGGCACGCTTTGATGTAGAAGAAAAAAATCAGAACAGTTTTTGGCACCTTTGATACCAGAAGCAATAACAAAATACAGGCAAATGTTGTTTTTGCTCAAATGCTCTAAACCTGTTTGATATGCCTTGAATTAAACGAAAAATGTGATATGACTCATATGAAGAAAGTAATATTCACAAAATATTTTTACACTTGTGAAAAGTCTAACAAAATATAGGAAAAGCATCGTCTTTAAAAACTGTTCCGTATATTGGACATATCGCTTTTGTATGAATTTTTTCTGCATGCTTTTTAATATATGTTAAAAACATTGCTGGAAAACCTTAAAATGTTTGCATGAAACCATGTCGCAATAAACAGATGAAGTAATAAAACTGCTTTCTCGCTTTATTTTCTGACATTCGGCATTTTATAGGCAAATTTTCAAATAAAGCAGTGGCACCTGGTAAATTCCACTATGGGTGGGATGCAGCATGCAATAACACCATACACAATAATTCCCATTAATTGGACATTAAAAAGACCGCCGCGACGCCGGGCACTTTCAAAATTGTATACTTACAAATCCGTCCATTTAACTTGTTCATGTACTACTTTTTGTCAAATGTAACTGGGTGACTACGTACATATGTGCATTAGTTTGCTTTATTACTCAAATTGTTAAGTAGTTATAAAAGTTGGTCTTATTGCTCAACGAGAAATGAAATAAAGCAAATTTGTGTTATTTCACATTCACATGCCCCCCCCTTCGGGCACCTGCCGGCGAGCAAAAGAACGGACTTATTGTGAGTCCCAGTTTCAAGGATGCAAAAGTGGGCCACCCTGGCTGTCACAGAAAGGGGAGTGACCTACAGTTTTACACCGATTCCGAATAGCGATTGTGTTTTAATGAGAAGCTGTTCTTCATGGCAGAATCCACTCAAAATTAAAAATTTATCTGATATTAAAATAAATTTGGAAATTTTTGATTTTAATCTTTNCATGCCCCCCCCTTCGGGCACCTGCCGGCGAGCAAAAGAACGGACTTATTGTGAGTCCCAGTTTCAAGGATGCAAAAGTGGGCCACCCTGGCTGTCACAGAAAGGGGAGTGACCTACAGTTTTACACCGATTCCTAATAGCGATTGTGTTTTAATGAGAAGCTGTTCTTCATGGCAGAATCCACTCAAAATTACAAATTTATCTGATATTAAAATAAATTTGGAAATTTTTGATTTTAATCTTTATTTACTTTTACTTACTAGAAATAATACATTCACTCAAATTCTTAAGTTTATTTTCATTTTGTTCGGTATCGATAACCGTGGAATGCGCCTTATTTACTCGCAACTCAAGGTGCACGCCACAAATCGGAGAAGAAGCTCGCCCAAACACTAACATTTGTGTAGGCGGCAATCTATTACTATTTTTTTTTCCTGGCAGAAATATAGTCGGAGGTTTGCTATTTCCCGCCGAGTAGTGACCGCTGTTAGAAAAACCTTTTTGTAATTTAGATGTTGCTCGGACCAGGGATCGAACTCAGGTCCCATGCAGTGGTAGTACGCACCTCTAACCGTTCAGCCACAGCGGACGCCATGTTAAGTGTACATAAATTAAATAAGCACTATTCGTTAAAAATTTCTAGTCAGACAAATAATAAGTTCATATGTGCAGCAATAAATAAATAGCACTCTTGGAAAAATATGTGGTTTTATTTGATGTTCTTGAAAGTCTGCGTTCACCTTAGTACAAATTGCGGGTTCTCACATTTGCCTGGTTATCTGGTTATGTGGTTATATTTTTTTCTTAGTTAACAACAATTAATAAAACTGCAAAATAATAAGTTTTAGCCTGATAGCCTGATAATCAGGCAGGTGTGAACACCCACATTTTTTTATTTTTATCTCGCCAAGCAAATTTGAACGTACGTGTTTTGTTCGGATTTTTCACCCACCACTTTTTGCCCGTGTACAGATTTTTGATTGTAAACTTCTGGTAGCCCTAACTCGACCCTAGCTACAACCAACACTAAGTTGTATTTCGAGTGTATTTCGTGATTTTTTTCTTTGTAGCACCGTTTTATTTATATAAATTTCTCAGGACACCTTAATGTTTATATTTATTACCTTGGTTATACCGACACATAAAGCACTTTGACCCAGTTCGCTGTGATTCAAAATGGAAGCATAAACCAACTTTCAATACGCTCAGAAATTCAAAAGTGTTTTGACTCGAATTTGTTTTCAAATCGCTTTTTTATTTCTCACATCGTTTAAAAAACAGGTATAAACACATCACTTACCTTGTTTATACCGACACATAAAGCGCTTTAACCCACTTCGCCGTGATTCAAAACGTATGCATAAACCAAATTTCAATACGCTCAGAAATTGAAAAGTGTATTGACTCGAATTTGTTTTCAAATCGGTTTTTTAATTCTCACATCGGTTAGAAAACAGGTATAAACGCATCATTCATTTGCCGCGAAGTGAAAAAAGGCTGGCTTTCTTCATACATCCCCTTTTAAATTTGAATTATTATTATTATAAATTCGAATTATTGTTCGCTTCCATTTCGGTCAACCGCGCAAGTTAGTTATTAAAGAAATGTCGTATAAAAATAGCAGATTTGGTTTGCTTTTGAATACGGCTTCATCGAGTGCGCAATAAAGACCGAGGTATAAATACTTGAAAGAAATATGTGTTGAGTCAAATCAGCTTTTTGTTAATGCGGTTATTGCGTAGGTATAAACAAGGTAACTGACGCGAAGTGAAAAAGGCTGGTTTTCTTTATACAGCCCGTTTTAAATTTGAATTATTATTATAACAAATTTGAATTGTTGTTCGCTTCCATTTCGGTTAGCCACGCAAATTAATTATTTAAGAAATATCGAATAAAAATAACAAAATTTTGTTTACTTTTCACTACGGTTTCTGCGAGTGCGCTTTAACGACACAGGTATAAATGTTTGAAAGAAATATGTGTTGAGTCAAATCAGTTTTTTGTTAATACGGTTCTTGCATTGGTATAAACAAGGTATATGATATACAGCATTTATTTATTTACAAAGGTTTTAACAGACAGAATAATGCAAACATTTTAATTTTTTCTGATATTCATTTTAGGTACTGAATATTGGCAGCTTATTCATCGCAAGTCGACAATTGGGTTTTCAACCAAATAATAAACCTCTGATATCAAGGCGACACTAATTCAAATGATACGTATTGCACAGGAACTTCTATATCATCAACATTGAAAGTCCAAGTGCCGAATTTTATGGTGGAGAGAATATAAACAGCTAGAAATAAAATGGCTGAAGCCGAAGGAGGCTCGGAGCAGGACGACGTTTCATTTTTGCGAACGGTGAGTAATAACTATCAGGGATGCCGTTTGGATCTAAATAGATCCAATTGGATACATTTTTAGACGAATTTTTGCGGGATACTTATTTTTTCCGGTCAGTATAAATGTGGATACTTTTTTAAATAGGCCAAAATTTTATATTTCCTATAAAGTTTTTTTCGTTCAAAAATCGATTTTCATTAAAGATGGTAGAAAGCATTACGTTTTCTAAACGTATAAAGAATCGCTACTTAAGCGTGAAATTAAAGCATTTTATTTTTTGTGAACGAAGCAATGAACATATGAAGAGATCTCACCAAAATAGGTATAAGCGCAATTGCTTTAATTAGCTTAAAGGATGCTTTAAGCAAGATCTTAATATACATATCGTCGCTTAAAGTACAAAACCGCGTATCAACAAAAAGCAAAACCGCGTATGTGACGTTGCATAAATTATTTTCTAGAGAGTAAAAACACTTATATTTCAAAATGGTTCTCTTTTTTATAAAGCAATCGCATTTCTGGCTAGTATATTTCAGGACGAATGGATAAGGATTGAGCCAAGAGCTTGTGTGAGCAAATCCAATTTTTGGCAGCAAATGTCAGTTACGCGGTTTTGCAGAATGACGATACGCGGTTTTGTACTTTAAACGACGATATACATATGTATATAAAGTAAATTATACTCTTTCTGTAGTAATCTCTTTCATATCACATATTTTCATTTGTTAATTTAAAAAGAAAGAAGATTTCAATGTAGTTTAAAAAACTAACTTTGATTTATTTAAGGAGACTTTTATGAATTTTACTGAAAAGACTTTGAATACACTCTAAAAAATTTTTGTTTATTTGCGCATATTAAGAGAGGTAACCAGTTTCCTCTTTTAATGTGTGCAAATTCGCACGCCGTGTAATAAAATTAATCATTGCCTGTTTACTCTTACATACCAAATTTGTCGCAAGAGCAAAATTACACATAAAATGTTTAAAATAAAGTAATGTTTATTATTAGTAGGAAATGAGTAGTCCACTTACAAACAGCGTTATGTGATTTTATAATAGAAAGCCATAAATTTGAAAAAGCGACTACGACAAAAAGTAACATTTAAATTGAATCTTTTTTATTATTACCTGAAAATTTGGATAAATAGGAGCCTTATAAAATTGTAACATAACATAACATGTCATAAGATAACATTAACAGTCTATACGACCTAAAGCAGCTTTCTAAGTTCATCAGAAGATTGATACTTTTGAAAGTTCATAAATAAGTATGATAGCGACTTTTGGAAGAAGACTTAACATTTGATGCTATTTTTTTCAGAATATAAAAAGATTTTGCACTCTGTTGTTAGTGGACATGAAACTACTTTAAATACTGGTACGTAATCCGCCAAAAACTAAGAATCGAAAAAATTTTACATAGCGCACTTTGCAAGTAGACTACTCAAATGTATTTGTAGTTTGAAAATTTTTGCAATTTTAAACATTCTATATATGTGTATTTATGTGTATATTTTAAAGATCTCAAGTTCAAAATCAAATACTGAACATCTTATACGTATATTTATACAGATTTTTGTTGAAAAATAGACACTTTTCAGTAGTAGTTTTACATGCTCTTTTTAGAGTGTACTTGCTATTTATTATATTTACTTTGCAAAATACTTATGCACAAAAAATGTACTTTATAAATTGAAATTACAAATGTTTCATTTTATGCACATGTATATTCCAAGTCCTTAAGATGGGTTAAATTATGTCTTTTTCATGAAAATGTTTGGTTTTCTTACAAATTATGAGATGTATATGTAAAAAAAGAAAATTGGATACATTTGGATACATTTTTGGCTTGGTCAGGGATACTTTTTCTTGAGACGTCGCGGCAACACTGATAACTATACACGATGTAGATGACAAAGATGGCGCACTCAGAGCCCCGCTACTTTGGTTTTCCGATTTTCACAATTCTCAAGTAAAAGTAAACATTAATTCTTTTGAATATGTATCTGTTTTTTCTGCGGATTTTTTGATTTTAATCAATCCCCTCCGGAGATCGTCTACAGGGGATCTCCCGAGGAGATTTAAATATATTGGGAAAAGAACGCATCTTCAAGTGTTTTAATACAATAAACACCCTGACCCCGAGCCGGTATTAAAAAGGATTGTTTCATTAATTCTTTTTATAAATCATATATGTATGTATTCTAACAATTTAACACAGTGGATACATTCAGAAGGCAACCGTATTAAAAAAATAATCAGTGATTATTCGTTATGCGCCTTCTGAACGGGTTGATACATTAGCTGTCAACTGTCCAAGGTAAACAAAATATGCTATCTCAAATGATCAGATAAATATTACGATCATCAAACACTCAACAAAGCAATGCATTCAGCAAGTGCAATCGCAACATTTACTGAGCTGCTGCGCCTTCCGAACACGCCCAATTAAACGAAGTTTCCTATAGAAAAATTACATATTAAGAAAATTTACTGTTTTGCCAGTTTCTTTTATCCTGCCATTCGGCTTTGTTTGCTTTTACTTGAGAAATCTCACCGCCGGCGGGAAGGTGCCATGTTGTATTCTAACATTCTTGGTAATTATACTATGAACAGAATTATCCTAAGATTTTTTAATCGCCTTCCACAAAATTTTGCTTCAGTTTTTGATAGAAAATGGATAAACCACCGAAGTTAAACTACCTCAACTGTGTCAATGAATTTTCAATGACAACACAAGAAAAATACTTTGAACCAAGGCGCATCCATATAAGATGGTGGCAATTGGATATACATTAGTAAAAATCAGGATGTCAAAACGAAAGAAAATAGGAAATAATTTTTGGCCAATTCGTTTTGTTGACATCCTAAAGTTACGCCATTTCGTCTTCGATGCCATTCTCCTGTACTAGTGTAGAGACAAAAATATCCAGTATTAAGAATATTCGAAGCATCCTTAAAAAAGATCATAACCTCTGCCTCCTTTGCAATAATTGAATGAAATTTTTTTTGAGAGTTGCAAAATTTACTTTCTTTACAACGAATATATTTGCAAATTTACTGCAATTTTAATAGTAGTGCAAAAAAACTCTTTATTTATTTTAAAGGTTCTAGGCCTGCAATTCCTATCAAATTTTCTCTCAATATGCTCTATACTCTAATTTTCATATTTCAGAAAGAAAAAATGGTATTTTTAACTCTTAAGAGCTCTAGGGTACTGGACAGACGGCGGAGTATGTGCCTGTTCATATATGTTTTTGAAAAATTCTGTATTGCATGCATACATACATACATACATACATTGAAACCAATAGAGCAAAGTCAATCAGGCAGGTTCAGAATTCACTTCCGAGTGAAATTCAATGAAATTCCCTTTAAATTCAAATTAGCAGGGGTGGAAATTCACTCGGATGTGAATTGCAGAACCTGCCTGAATATTTTTAATTGGCACTCATAAACATACATATGTACATTAGACTGTCCCAAGAATATATGCTCAAAAATTTGTTTGCAAATTTTGATATGCACACCCTCTATATTTGTGCTTTTTAGCCTAAATGGCATATATATACAGTTTTATGGCCGTAGAATAACGACAACCTGGGCCGACATTTAGTTGAAGTTTCAGTTAATAACTTGAATTAATAGTCCATGAAAACTTTGGAAATGCGAAAAATTTTATATCTTTAATTAGGAGGTACCGGGTATCCGGTATATATCCGGAATCCGGCTTATCCGGCCGTTTTTCTGTTATACGACTACCCGGCCGGATACTGGCTAAAATCCGGCCGGATTTCCGCATTTCGATTATAGAATATTCAGTTTAAAAATCAAAAATTTGTATATTTTTCATTATGAAATGAAGCATTTCCGCGTTATCGGGCAACAACATATTTCTATTTGCAACCTAAATGCTACCCGATGCACTAAACCCTCTTTCTGAGTTCATTGAGGAAGGTGGTGTGCTACTCTGGATACTCTGGTAACACAATTTATATGATTTTTTATATTTTTAAGTCAAAAATACTAAATAACAAAAAAATTTAATTTTTTCATAAAATTACCCTTTTTGAAGAAAATTGCATTTAGAAAGTCATATTATTTAGAAAGTACAGGTTATTTCCTTATACAGAGAGGATTTTTATAAGGCAAAATTTAACGAAAGAAGTGGTAAAAATTTAAAATGTTTATATATTATTTGTAAATGGTGTTGTTTTAAAAATGGTTATACATAGTAAATACGTCGTAAAAAGGTACTGAAGTTATCTTTGAATTTGCATCAATAATTTTCTAATCGGTCAAGTAGTTTCCGAGATATTATAGATAAAATAGAAAATTTTAAGTTTAACCGGTTTCATTTTCTTTGTTTTTTACTTGCGCCAAATAATTTCATGTTTGGTTTTATTTTGTATAGCTAAACGGTCGGTATTACATTTCGGAATCCGTTCTAGCTAGAATCAGCTGTTCGCATGGCAAACGAAAACGAAATTGCCAACATGTTGGCAAATACATTTTAGTTGTCAAATACTGCCACATAAGCGGCGCACATAGGGGTATTTGAATGATTTAACTTAACTTAAAAAATTAGTCACTTTCGATGGAGAACATTCCAAATAACATTTCCCAGTCCCCCTCACTTTTCTAACTTGCACAGCGAACGCTCACCGTTGGCTGGAAACAGAATATTCTAACGCTGGTTAAAAATAAATTTTCGCTCTCTAGAAAGATCGGGAAGGTTTTAAGTTAATATTTTGATTACTGCTGCAGTAATACTGCATTATATTCTTAAAAAGTAGTGATGGACCCGCATACAGAAGGTAGTAATGCATTTAAGGGTAAATTTTTTTAATCATTTTATTAAGCAAAAGTTCAATTGAAATGTAACGAAAATAGCGGTTTCCAACGAGTATTTTTTGGTTAATTTCTATGAATATTAAGGAATTTGTTGTATCCCCGGGAGAGATCGCGTTATTATTCTTTGTTCAGTTGAAAGCTCAGAAATTTGGTTAATATATAAC